TAGATCCGTGTGATGTATTCCAATTTAAGGAAAATTATAAGTGAAAATTGAATAGCCCGATAAAAGCGGGTAAAATTTTTCACGCTAGCTGGTGGTTTATTGGAAAACAGATCCCAGTTTCAAAATTGAAGCGATACTATTGGGATCCTTTTGATAAAGTACCGTACAAAATTCGTAACTTTTCATTGGCCTATCCGGTTTTTGATGAAAACATTTTATCGGGACTATTTTGCCCACCGGACGATGTAGACTTTGAGGCAAATTCGATTTCAAATGCAACGAAACGCCGACAACTTTTTCGGGAACAATTGCCAGTATTTCGATGAAACGAAGAAAATGTTGGGTAAAAATGGAAAAGGCGGGAAAGTTGGCAAAGGAAATGGCGGTGACAAAGGCGACCCTGGAAAAGATGTGGAATTTTTTCGAATTACAACTCATGATTTTGATTGTGCCGTACCTTAATGTTATTTTTTGATAATCTTTGTTTAAATTTTTGTTAAATGCAATAAATCATTATCAGAAAAACAGTTAGAAAAAAATCCTTTTTCTTTAAAAACAGAAAAGACGAAGTAATGTCAATTTATTTAATGTGAAGACATTTATTTAGATCGTGTGGTTTTTTTCAGGAAAAAACTGGAAAGGTACAAGAAAACCAACCTTTAAGACGATATTTCGTTTTCTCTGAAACAAAAAAGAAACATCGATTTTCTGAAAAAAATCAATCAATTATTTGGTCTCTTCTAGTGTGTTTAAAAACGTGAAAAACAATTGGCTTCCATTGAGTGCGGACCTTTTTTGAAATGAGATAGGTTGAAAATTTTGTTGGAAGGCTTTGTATGTTTTCAAGAGAACTCCAAGGCAGAATAATAAAAGTGGATATTGGAATTTAATGATTTGATTGCCACAAAGCATAGCCAGCAAACAGTTAGAAGAACTGCTTTTTTGCACTGTCTGTTGGCTATCTTTCATGGGTATTAGATCGTTAATTGTCAATCTTCACAGTCTATTTTTTTTCTTGTGAAACTGGATAAGTTCGCAGCATGAAACTGGATACTTTGTCGCCTTAGCCACGACGCGAAAAAGTTTCTTAGTTTTCTTTTCTTTTATTTCCACGCAGGCGAAGTAATTTTGCCAAAATCGTTTTTCAATAAACAGAAAGATAAATAATGATCATATAACGTGTCTAGCAGCAAAGAACTTTGCACACCTTCTGTCCAATAACAGAAGGATTAACGAGCTATTGGCTTTCTGAGTTCAATCGCAAAAGTTTAATTAAATGCTGGTTAACTGTTTAGTGAAACTCTGGGGTTTTAAAAGTTGGTATGTTCTTTTTTTATTAATTTAACCGCGCTTCGAAAACTTTATATCTAATAATGCGCGGCAAATTATTACAAATCAAAATCGTTGCAAATAGTCATATTTATTTCCTACAGCGACTCAAAATTGAATAGTTAATACTTGATACTGACAATACAAAACTTTTTTACGAAAAAAAATTTTCGCTAGCAACTGAACGGCAGTCTGAATTTTCAGGGTTTTGCCCTGATATACGAGTAATCTAGTAAGTTTTTACTAGGAAGAGAAATTTTCTTGATTTCAATTTCAAAATAAATTTTGCGTTTTTTAAAAATTGTTTTAAGAAACATTTTTTTGTCGGTTCTAAAAAGACATACTATTAGTTGCAAAATGAAAAACAATAACTTACAAAAGTCATAATATCAATTGATCAAACTTTTCAAAAATTTCTTGAGAAAATCAATCAAAATGGGTTTCCAAAAATGGGTAAAGTAAATTTACGTTAACAAACAATTACTATTAACTGTCAACTTTGCAATCACAATTCAAAAATTTTAAATTAGTTCAAAAATAGTTTCAACGTTTTTCTAAGGTTATTAAACAAATGAAAAAAGCAATGGCGACATCCGTTCTTACTACCTGTAAAATATCAATAAATTAAATTCTGTTATTTTTGTCCAACAATTTTTCCCCTCGACGTCATTGAATTTTGTCCCGGTTTCTTGTTCATTTCCTTAGATCAACAAAACAGTGATTGCAAGCAATTTAATTTTCAAAATTTTATTTGGTTGCCAAGTTGGCACTTAAAAAAGAATAAAATCAGGGTTCAAATTAAGCACAAGCCTGAAAAATTTATACTTGACGGAGGACTTGAATAAAAAAATTGACTTGATTGCAGAAGGAGTGATTCAGAAAAAAGTTTTAAAAAAACAAAATATACATTTTTTAGAAATTCACTTACCTTTTTTTGATTGCTGTTGTCTAAAACTCTGGTTCAAAATTTTAATTTTTTTCACGTAGGAGAACAAATTGTTGTTTTGGATTGGTTATCCTGAAATCCGAAAGAATGTGAAATAAAATTTGGTTGTGCTTGATCCACAAGCAAACAGAATTCAAAAACAAAACTGCTCGCATTAGAAAAAAAACACTGAGTTTTCCTACGGTCCCTAAAAAATTCAAAAAACTAGTCATCTTTTAAGAAATTTAAATTTGATGAAATTTCTTCAAAAAAAAAAAAAATTTCCAAGAATATTCCCCGCACACGATATATGAAGATACGAAGTAATTAAAGTAATTAAGTGTCTAGCAAAGTTTCATTAGCTTCGAGATGTCTCAAATCAAATTGTGGCAGTTTTTTGCCGGGTTACATTGCCGCTTTACAAAGAGCCAAATTTATCGCGCGTTTATTGTCCCAAGTTAGCCATAGTTTGTAAACCACCATAGCTTTGCGAAAAATTATAGGTCAAATATATCTATGAGTTTCAGACTTCAGTACTTTTCAGGCGGTAATAAAAAAATCATTCAAAGTGAAATAGTTAAAAAGTCGACTTTTAACTGAAGCAAAAAAATCAGCCAAAAACCACTAGCCCAAATAATCCATTCTCTTTTCTAAAATCGGAACACAAAACGAGGCCAAGGTAAAAGTATATCAAACAAGACTGCTCGTATATGAGGCAAAGCCTTGAATGTTCTGACTAACTCTCAACTGGTCTCGAGATGAATTGTTTTTTTTGTACTGTCAACATTAAGTACTAATTTTTGTGTCGTAAGCGGAAGTAATGTGACAAATTAGTTGGCCTCAATTCAATTCAGAATGGTTAGGGCGGCAGCAAAAATTGCAAATCATAAACAGTTGTCAAATTTTTCTAAGTACTAAACACCGCTTGGTAACAGTACATTATAATTCCTATGCTTCCAAGTTTTTTTGTGAAATTGGTCGTAAAAAAACCACACCAAGCATATATAATCTTCATTTTGTTCAAAAATTTGTACAGTTTTTTTCTTAACATGTGAAAAGAATTGCGCAATTCTGTCTACCAATAAGGGAAAAAGATTGAAATTACTCAATTTATACCCATCGGCGAACACGTGGTCGATTTAAAAAAGTAGTTTTTGCGATAACTTCATGATTATCGATTTACTGAACATTTGTAAAGTTAAATTAGAATGCTCAAAAAGTTTTGACGAAATTTTTAAAATAAACGGTAACTATAAAAACTAATTATAAATTGAGAAGTCTCTTAAAACACCTCCAACCACCCCCCCCCCCCCCCACCCCCCAAGTCCATTTAGGGGAGGATGTTAACTTGGTTCTGAGTTCGAACTTTCAGCCAATCAGAATAGAGCATTTTACATGCACCGCTAAGTAGATTTAATTAAAATGAACGCTGGGGTGGAGGATCTTAACTTGGTCTATTTGGGGGGGGGGGGGGAGGATGTTCACTTGATCCCTTAAATGGAATGGATACATTGGAATGCAGGAATGGAGTACATAAGATACATCATGATGTTCATATTCATAGTCCTTTGGTACTACTTTAGAATATCCAATTTTGGCTGACCGACACTAAAATTTTTCTAAAGGCGCCTTTGGCGCCAATTGATACAAAATTTTAAGGGGGAGCCGCGCCAAAAACCGCAAATTTTGGTTCAAATTTTTCCAAAAGTACCCAAAAACCAGTTTTTTGTCCTGGTTTTTCAACCCCGCGCCCCTCCCCCTCGAGAAAATCCTGGATCCGCCCCTGCCCACGACAACAAATTTTTGACTAACTCTAGTCATAATTTGGATTGAACCTTACTCAATAAGCTGCTCAAAATAACGCTAAAATGCTATTTCAATTAGACATGGAGTTCAGTCTCCTCTGCAAATATCCGTGCAAGTTAGTCAAAAAATAGAAAACGTCAAACCAGTTTTACCCGGCACTGAAAATGGTTTTTTTAAAATCCAAACCAAAGAGTTTAGTATAAAATAATACTCGATTTACTGAAAGTTTCACTTCTGGTGCTTGATTTGTTAAAAAATTCATCAGTTCCCGCAATAACTTCACTCTTTCGAGAACCAAAATTCGTTTTTAATTTTTATCATGCATATTGAGTTGGGATTCATAACATTGCAAAGCGCCATTTTTAATACAAGAGCGGTATTCAAACCAACATGTTTGTAAATCAGAACTTGCCTGAAAGCTCATTTGAAGGCTTAAGCAGTTTTTCAACCGTTAAATGAATTGCAATAATTGATGACCTGTAAATGGTACCAATGAAGCATTTCAAATCTATTTTTTAGGGATACCTAACCCACAAAGTTTCAAGTAGACTTTTTTTTATCAAATCAGCATTCTAAATCAGCATATTGGGTTCAGTAAAATCCCCATCAAAAATTAACACTTAAGTTACTTTTGTTGATATCGTTTTGGTTTCGTGATTTGGTCAGTTTTTTTCTTGACTCTGCTCAGCTTTTTTCAAATCCAGCACCTGGTGCGGTGAACTAGAAAAAAGTACCTAGTCTAGTACACGTAGTATCGTTTTCTCTCGAACAACTAGAGAACAAATTAAAATTACTAACTTTAAACTCTTTACTAGGCGGCTGTCCAACTTTCTTGCGTTTATTGCTCCGACTTTAAAGCTTTTTGACGCTGCCTTGCTCACATTTTACAACGTTTACCATATGCTGTTAATTCTATAATACAGTTTATGCTAGTTAGAAGTCTTCAACCAAACTTGTTTTTGTACCAACCGCTGAAATAAAGACTCTTTGAATAATTATCAGCAGATTGCGTTTTAGCTTGTAGACTTTAAATGCAGTCTTTAATGTTTGTGTGAAACTAAATAATCATTGTTGAGTTTGTTTAATTTAAATACAGAATCCAAAAACATACGATTGTCATTAATAAAACTTTGAAAAAAGGCGATATCGTAAATCATAACTATAAAAAAATGGTGAATCTTTCGTGTTCCGAGCAGTTTCTGCGTCTCTTCGTTTTTATATTCAATGTCGCGTTCTTCATCTTCGGAGTTCTTCTGATAGCGGTCGGAGCATACGCAATTGCGACTGTGCAGGACTTCTCGGAGTTCGACGTGGATTCCGTCAAGAGTGTATCGGGTAAGCTACGGGACAAAGGAAAGAATCTCCTTTGGAGTTTTGGGGCAGATAGTTGGGGGCAGTTGGTTGTTAAAAGCTTTAGTTTTCCAGTCAATCAATTTTCGGCCTATTGGAAAGGGCTTAAGTTTTTACTTTCTAAAGTTGGGGTGGGGGAGGGGCGTTTGAATTGTTTATTTCAACTAAAGCACAAGTGAAAGTATTCAATTCTATTGATAATAAGATACTGAGAATGAGCATTGATAATCCCTTCTCATTCAGAGAGACGGGCAACCTCGTGCTCAAATAGTGTTCAGTCAGTATAGTTCAAAAAATGGTCAAACATTTTGGGCATTTTGAAGAACTTTGATTGGTTGAAATCGAAATCCCTTAGTCATAGTAGCGTTCGGACATGCTTATTTAAGGCGTATCCCTATTCGTGAAAAAGAAGCACAGTTCCTTTGAGTGGGCGGGGTACCATCTTAACCGTGTTCCCCGATATCGTAGTGTTCAGATAAAACAAGCCATAATTGATAAAATTTCAAGATAACTCAACTTTAAAAAAACCCGGAAAATTATTTTAGCTAAATTAATACTTTTTGAGAAAAATTTCTAACAACTTGAGTGTTTCAGGAGTATTCATTGCATGTGGTGTGATAATCTTCCTGATTGGTCTGTTGGGATGTTGTGGGGCGTTCCAGAAGAGTCACTGGCTGATGTATGCTTATTCAGTGGCCATACTCATCATGCTGATCCTGCAGCTGGCCTTAGGAGTGTACACTCTGGTTGAAAGGGACCACGTGGCCGATGTGCTCACTGACAGCATGCAGAGTACTATGAAAAAATACGACACAGACTCCACTACTGCTAAGTGAGTACAACCCAAATATAACCAAATGGCACGCAAAAAAACTTAGGAAAAATTACCTTAGAAATATGCTTTTATAAATGTAAACAATAATTATAATGATAATCAAAATAAATTTATTTTAAGGCTGTTTGTTCAAATATTCAGCATGAAAAACGCCACAGGAATGCTAGACTTGTCGTGTGACAGCTCTTCATCATAAAATGATGTACACATGTATAACATCTCAAACTTATTCTTTCGGTTACACTTTATGTTCTGGATCATTCGGATCATATAAAAAAATTGTGAGGTAACTGCTGAGCTATTTTGCTATTCAAGAATCATAATCAACTTTTTCAACCTTTGTCAGAGCATGGGACAAAGTCCAGGAAGACCTGGACTGCTGTGGATACGATGGACCCGCCTCCTGGAATGTGACCTTCGAAGACGGCAGCACGGTGCCAGATTCTTGCTGCAAGACAGTAACAAATGGCTGTGGTAACGCGGTCGGCTACCACAGCAATGACATCTTCACAAAAGATTGCAAGACCCAGGTCGAAGATGCGCTGGCAGACAGCATGCTGGTTCGAGGACTATGCGCTATTATATTCGCACTTCTGCAGCTCCTCGGAGTCCTGGCCGGCTGTTGTCTCGGAAACGCTTTCCGAGAATACGAGAGGGTCGAATAGTCGTCATATCGACTATTTAGAAAAAATGAACTCAAATAAATACTGAATGCTAGATATATACACGAATAGTAGGACACTCTACCTAGGAAACAGCTGTTTAACATCAACCTTAACGGCTTTTCCTTGTATTTTTGTATTTTAGACTGACTCATCTGACTCTTAACTGAAATGTTTATGAATTGACTTTCACTTTAGCTTAATAAAGGAAGGATTGGATTGTTTGAAGTTCTAACTTTTATTTTTTTTTAAGATTACGCGACTTAATTTATCCGTAGCAACCCATTCTACTCTATTCCAATAGTGTATGACAAAAGGACAAAATGGATTAGGGTACACTGTTATGTTACCCATTTGTCCATTATGTGTTGATTTGAGCAGTTGAGAGCTATCGGTTATCAATATATTGTCTCCAGTTTTATTACAGCCTGTCCAAATTTTCTTCACGAATGCGAGCAATTAAGTTTTTTCACAGTTTTCGAGTTTTTTTTTTCAAAATTTTCACAGTTTTCAAGTTAAACTAATTTAAGAAAAGTGAATCATTATAAATTTCGTTATTCTACTGGGAAATCTGAAAACCTACTTTTTAACAGAAGAATTTGAATTGAACTAAAAAAAACATATCTACCGAAGTGCATTCATAAATGCACTAATATATATGAATCCACTTCTCTAGTTATTAGAGCATATAACATTTTTTCTAGAAAAAAAGCAAACAAAAAAACATCATGAACTATATAAGTGAAAACCACTTCATTTGCTGTTCAAAGAGAAAAGAATTTTCTGACTATTGTTATCATCGCAAAAAGTTTTGGCTGAATGACGAAGTTGCGCTTGCAATTGCAAGCAAAACTCCGAGCAAAACGACGGATTTGTAGCTAACTATATGAACAATAGACTTTTTCACTTCAAGATTCTATTATGGCATTTTATTGATAAAACAAAAAACTAACCCAAACATAGCCAACTGACAGTTGGGAAAGAGTAATGAACACAAAGAAACAAAAAAAAACCCTTTTCAAAAACCTTCAACTATTAAATGTCGAAGAAAAAAACGGATGGCCTCAAAGCTCTTTGATTTTTTGGAACAATTTATAATGGACAATTTTTTGTTAAAATTAACCCAATTTGAGAAAACTGGATCAATAGGTAAAACTTTTATTTCGCTGTTAACTCTGATCATTAATTTCCATTTTCCGAAATAAGGTCGATCATGTTTTTCGTGATCTTTACAATTTTGCTGTTCGGTAGTGGAGTCTGCCTTCCTTTTAGCCATGGAAACGCACAGAACTTAAAAGAAATCACAAGTCAAACCTCGAAAAATCAAAATTGAGCGTGAACAAATTTTTCTGAAAAAAAAAAAACAAAAAAAATCAACAGGACCGATATAAGATTACTCACACCGTTCCTTACTCTTAATTTATAAAAAATGAATCAAGTAGGTAAATGTTGCTTGGGAATCTGAAAATTGGAGTCAATGTTTGAAACTTAAGGTAACACTTTTTTGCTTTCGCTTTTGAAGAACGTAATTGGACTTTCATTTAGGAAAAAAATCAAACTGCCAAAAATCACATTTGAGCGTGAACAGCTTGCTTTTAAGACCTTTTCCAAGAATAACGATAAACTATAATAGTCAAAATAATTAGGTTTCTTCACTTCGTTTCTTCTTTGATTAAATAATTAAAATCCCTTCTTCTCCAAGTTCTTAGTGAATTTAACTGTAATATTTTCCTCTTCTGGCACACATTAATGAGATCAAATAGCTTTAGTTCTATTAAGATTGTCTAAGGGCTGAATTGAATCACCACCTAAATCACTCGTTAAAAAAACTAGTTAAAATTGATCATCTTGCGAATTCTTAAACCCACATAAAATTGCGAGAAATAATCGAAGTTGAAATATCTTTTAACATTTGAGGCCAAAAGAGAACAATATTTTGGAGATGAAATTTTAAAAATTCAAAAGCGTTTATTGATATCCTCAGAGTTGATTGTAATTTGGCGGTGGATAATCTGATATAAATTGAACACAGAAATTGTGTCCACAAGAAACCACGCAGATTGGAGATTCAACTCGGAATACAACACAAGTGTTTACTTGGATTAAAAAACCGATCTTTTTCGAAGGTAAAATGATTCACCCGCAGAATATGAAACGTTCTCAAAACAGATAATTGGGAAACACAAAGGTCGTCCAGTACATATCAAAAAAAATTAAGTGAAAATTATTCGCTGGATTTAAGTCTGAATAGCCAAAAATACAAACCAGTTCATCTCTACACTGCTGCAATTTCTTTGCTTTTTATTTGGAATCCAAACTACGATCAAAAAATCTTTGGTATGATACCATACTCGCCCACAACTAGAAGTACCTCATATTGACTGGAAAAAAAACAACGTACGCTATAGTTCCTTCCAGACACTTTATGGCGTGGTCGGAACAATAACAGACGCGATATTTTCATCGCATTCAGCGGCGGATCTAGGATTTTCTCGAGGGAGGGGGCGGATTTTCAAAAAAAATCGCAACTTTCGTCCATCTTTTTTTAGGTCGACCAAATTGATTTTCAGTGCTCTTCCAAATCACTATGAAGACACCATTTTGACCAAGTTTTGAGCGCCACAGGCATGTTTTTGAAAACTATACTGAAAACCAATATATACTGCGTAGTATATATTGGCGCCCAAGGCTACTTTAGAAAAATTTTAGTGTCCGCCAACCAAAAATGGATATCGGCAGGGGTTCGAACCCCTGAAAGGGGGTATCCGCCAACGCCCCGGCCCCCGAAATCCGCTACTGATTACATTGATTATTATTCCAAAATATCTGTATGGCTTTACCTGTTACAGAAAATTAAAGGATCATATTATTCATCAAAAACAAAGCCGGCCAACCTATGATCAATTTTGTAAAAGGGAATTTTCTTTGGGACGCTATTAAAAATAAATTGAAGCTGTGAAATTATTTTCAAGCTCGGAAGAACTAATTTGAAAAAGAAGCTCAGAGAGCCAAACAACCACCCAAAAAATAAGCATCAATATATTTTAGAACTTTTTATTGAAAAAAAAAAAGACAACACATTTCACAGATTCATTAATGCTGAAACATTAATTGCACTTTTCAAACTAATCATTGAGTACATCTTTCCTCCTTTTGTATACTCCTTTTTTCAAACCAATGTATACTCCAAGTTTAAAAACGGCCCCAACTTTCTGACACTTCATATTCAACGAAAAACTAGTGGCAAAATAAATTCGGGATACAAAACTGTCACAACGCAAGATAATCAATCTCATTAATAATTTATAACAAGTCATTTCAGAACAAGTTTTCGCATATAACCATTCACGAGTACCAATTCAGACCCCCTTTTCCCGACGGACCTCGGGGCGGGGGAGCTCTCTGGGGTACATTTGGTCTAACTGGAGGGGGCACCTGGATCATATGAGGAGGTCTCATATGAGGCCCATTTCCATTGGGTTCAGGGAATCTATTAGCCTGTGGATGTGGCACTGGACCTCTTTCGTTCGGTCGACGCATAATCACAGGAGGCGGTATGTTTGGATTCCTGTAATCAATGTCACTTCCCGGGTGGTGTCCCCTTTGATCAGGTGGCGGGGGTCGCCCTCTAAAATCGGTGTCTCTATATATAGGTGGTCCATCGTCATGTCTCTCCATCGGATGATACTCCCGGTCTCTCAAGGGCGGCGGAGGCCTGTTGTCGCGATAACCATTATTGTTGTACGGCTCACGATCCCTAATGTCCCGTCGGTCGTCTCGATCTCGGGCTTGTGGCGGATCGTCGGGAAACCTTCGTTCGTAGAAGCGAGCGTCTCTGTCTTGGAATCGTTCCCGATCGAAGTCTCGGTTGTTTCTATCATCATAATCAAACTCCTCGCGATCTCGAAATCCTCCGCGACTCAATGGGTTCCGTCTACTATTGCTATTTGACTGCCAAGGCGGTGGTGCCTCATGATTAAGAATTGGCTCTTTTCTGTCGTAGAAGTGCATATCGCCGTCATAAGTCGGCACATTCCGATCATCGTACTCTTCTCGCAACAAATCCGGTCTCTGATACGAGTTCCACATAATTTTGAACCTAAAAATAAGTTAAATTTCAACAATTAACCAGTTATAACATGGCCAGCAGGGGTTCAACATTCGAAGAACAAATATATCAAATTAGTAAAGCATTTTCAATTTCATATATTTTTTTTGCGATTGACGCTCTTTTCATAAAACTAACCCTTTTAGAGAAAACTGGGGCAATTCATACTTTGTTTATTGCGCTGGGAATTCTCAAAATCAAAGTCGATATTTAAAACAAATTCATCCACGTTTTCTGCGCCATTTGCGCTTCGAATTTGAATTAAACTCAATGAAAATCATATTTGATCGGGAACTAATTTTGTGACTTTTTCTTGGGCTGAGTATAATTTGAGCGGGAACTAATTTTGTGACTTTTTCTTGGGCCGAGTCATTGACACTGAATCACGTACCCGCAGATACAATTTTTTGAACTAATTTTATGGGTTCCAGACTGATAGTATGAAACATTTCTATCGCGTCGCAAAGGACTTGGTTCGAACTTCTTCGAAGCCTCTCAGTTCAGAGAATGGGGCAGGGCTGTCATATTGTTAACAAAAACGTTTTTAACACGTTATGTATGTTTTAAAAAAAACACGCTTAAAACAAAATTGAATTTTTAATCACTCATCGAGTTGTTTAAAGAGAAAATCCAGCTCTCCAGCCTTCTCGACGACCAAAGAAATTCGGAGTTTTCCATAAGAGACCAAGAGTTGAGAAACACTGCTCCAATCCAGCATTGGATGAGATAGCATTGGCCTAGTCGAGTAATTTTTTCGATGAAATATGAAAAAAGGACTGCATTCGAAATGGAAGCTCAAAATGTTAAAACATGTTAAATATAGATCTGTTAATAACACCTTGTTAAAAACATGACAACCCTAGAATGGGAGTTAGAGAACCAACATAATCCGTGACAGTTCTTGAAGTTTCATAAGTATTTCCCAACCCATGAATACATCCAAAAATGCACGTTCACCTAATCGGAGACACTACAGCTTTGCAACCCGGCAAAGAGCCTAAGAGCTCGGTTGTTACTCTTTTCCCATTAGAGTAAATGAAATATAGAGCATAATTTTGAATGATGTGTGACCTGGGGTCGATTCGCTTGTCGCCCCGTCTGATTTTCTCCTCTCCCATTCCGAACATGTCCAGACTGAACTGGGGCGGCATGTATCTCTTCCTGCGTTCTTTCGGGATGGCTGCTGTCTCCTCCGGATTAAGAGCTGGAATTGTAGTGTCCACTTCTTGATACTCCACCTCTTCTACAACACGTCACGTTTTTTCATGAAAAGCAGTAGTTGAAGAAAAAACAACGTTTTTTACTTGGCTGTTATCCTTCGTCGTTTCGTTATCCTACAACTCTGCAACAATACCCCCCTCCAAAAAACTAGCGTGATCACTTCTTCTTGAAAAAAAACACGATTAATCTCACTTCGTTGATTAATTCTTGAGAATTAATTGTGTACTATTATTTCTAGCCAGTTGAGTCATTTTACATTGAGATACATGATAGCACATCACATAGAGCAACAACAGTACACACACATACGCACCGATGTCCTGGTCATGTTGAACTGCCCTCGGATCTGGTTCCAGGTTGGCCATCAGCTCCTCCGTCTCCAACTCCTCGTCCAGTTTCAGGTTGTACTTGTCCCTCATCCGGTCTCCCGGGTTGTTTCTGGTCCAGAACTTGGTGGCGAAATCGTTGGATGCAGACGCCACTATGTGTCCTAAAGGGTGCCACTTCACATCCCAAATGATGCCATCGTGTGCGTTTTCTATCCCTCCAACCTGTTTATCCAAACTAAAACACGCAAATTTCAAACATTTATCTGAAATAAACTCACCCTTGCACTTCTTAACGCCCAAAAATTTCAAAAAAATGAACATGCGATTTTTGAACGGAGAAAATTTTTGACAAGTAATCTGAGAAAATTGGGCGGCCTAAAAATTCAGTAACTGCCAGGATGCGAATTATAGCAACACACAGTATTAGTTTATAAAACGCGGCTGTTCGAATCACCTCGAAAACTTGAATGTTCTGACTGCTCTTTGAATTTACTCAAAGAAAAATTAAAATTTCTTTGATATAACTAGCCCAGATTGAGAAAACACTGTTCAGCTGGGAATTTTAAAAATTAAAATCCATTTTCGAAACTACAAGTCGATCTCGTTTTTTCTATTGTCGTCAAAGCACCTAATTTCCACAGTCCTTTGAATAAAAACAAACTGGAACACCTTCCGATATTGAAGCCCGAGCTTTAATAATTTCAATATGTTACAAAAAAAAATCGACTGTAGCTTTTAAGGCTCTTTTCCAGTTTCCCAAACCCTCGTAAAATTACAAAATGAATCTGATGGAAAAAATGTTCACACGGAGTTTGCATAAAAGAAATGTTAAAAATTTATCGACAATTCACGTTGTTACGTTTTAATGCAGTTCATAACATGAAAAATTATTTTAAATAGAAGAGCCGCTTTTAATTTGATAAACTAAATTAGCCTGACCAAAAAAAAATACTTCGAGCAGAACTACTCCGTAACTTGAACAAACTCTCCTGAGAAAGACAACTTAAAAGTCGTCTATTGATCCAGTCTTCTCAAATTGGGTTAGTTTTATCAAAAAAAAGTGTCAATCACACCCAATTTGAGACACAGATGTAAAACTGCACTTCGCAAACACAAGCGATAAACAGCCAAGAAGCAGCTTCAAAGGGGTAAAAAAACCAACTATCTTGAAAATGAAGGGACCTCTACGGGAATTGAACTACTACCCTCGGAAACTCACGTTTTCCAGTTGAGCGCCCTAATCTATTGTGCCACTGACGCTTATAGAAACCAAAGACAAGCGAGCGAGAGAGGCAAAAGATATCTTCAAAATCCACAAAACTCACTTTTGCAAGTAATAACCTGAATGTAAAACCTTAAAAGCAAATATACTAATTTTGCATGTAATAAATTGGAAAGTATATGACCAAATTGTGTTAAAATTATGCATTTCAAAAATTTTGGGAAATATAGAGGGTTGATGCTATGAAAATAAGTTTTTTTGAAATTTGTACTGTTGCATGAATCAGTATTATTGTACTGCATTCCTCGGTTCATTTGCTGAAAGAAAAATGCATCACCTGTGTGAACTTACCAAACAAATTTCAAAGCACACGCTATTCAATAGCCAATTCAATCTTCTAAGGAAAAAGCGCTACCAGAAAAAGTACTAATATCTGCATCTTAAGTTGAAAAAAAGTAGCCTGGTACTATCAAAATACGCTGTGCTTGTGTAAAATCTGGATCAAGATATAACTTGTCGGAGGGAGATTTGAAAATTAAAAACCACTTTTGAAGCTAGAAGACGATCAAGTTTTTCGTGATCTTAATAGTTTTGCTGTTCGATGGTGAAGTTTGCCCTCCTTTTAACAAAGGAATTAAACAGAACGTGAAAAGAAAGTCAAGATGCAAAACATTAGCATCGTAGCAAAATTTACAAAGCCGTAACAAAGCAAGTTGACATTTCTTGAGCAGACAGGATGGGCCAAAAACCTTAGTACCCCCTCAAACATTTAGAGAAAAGCTTTTTTCGCACATCGAACGACTCGAAGAGAGGCCGCTAAGCCGATATATATGAGCCGAAACCTTTTCAGCAGATCAAAAAGAAAAAAGAAAACAAAAAAACTGAAGCAAGTACGGATGGAGATGGACATATCGAAATGGTCCCATTTAACAAAACTCAATGATTCTTTTTCGTACATCCTACACAGAGGCAAAGCTGCGCTTCGCAAACTCAAGCGAGGAAAATGGAAAAAAGAGCTCTAAATAGGCAAAACAAAGTGAAAGAAGAAAAAGATTAAAACTACACCTTGAAAAAAAATATTGTTGAGATTAAAAACATCAAGTTCTCACATCTGCTCTACGGCTTGTTGATTAGGAGTCTCACGTCCTCGCACCTGCGCAGCGCAAAAAGTCTCGCTTGAAACAAAACTAGTGGTACCAGCTAATACTGGATCTACCGGTTCTAATATTTTTATTCGTATTTTTTACTTATACGGAAATGCGTCATTTTCAAAACATCGAAAAAATTGCCTTTACGCTGAACCCCAGTGTTTCTCTGCTTGAGTAGGGTGATTAACCACCTTTTAAAAGGAGAAAACCACTACTTGCTCTTCCGTTTGAAGTCCTTATCTAACTTGGCTGGGTAGTTTTTGAAAAAGTGCCTAAATCCATTAACTTTTCTCTACTAAAGCATGGGAATAGCCTCTGCTTTCCACACCCTCATTTTTTTAGAATGCACCCTGAAAATCAGATTTAGCCAGTAGTTTTTGAGAATAGTGACGAAGTTTCTGAGAAAAACGGATAAAATTTAGCAAGGAAATTTTCCGAAATCCATATAAGCTTTTCTAAAAAAAACAGGTTTACACAAATAAAGCAGGAAAAATATCAGCGACATGATAGTTTTAATGAACTATCAACCTCAGAACCACAGATTCTTTTTTTGAAAAAAAACTTTCCAAAATTTCAAAAATTAGACATTTTCTAAGGCCATATTTTTTGCAAAACGCAGAACATAGTCCTTTGCGCTGATAAAATTTGCATAATTTTTTTTTTCTTTCGGTTGACCACTTAATCTCCGATCGTAATTTTTGAGAGAAGTCAAAAGTTAACAAAAATGCCAAAAAATGGGCTTGTTTAAGGCCATATTTTTTTCTACCGAACTTGAGAAATAGCCACTTGAGAAGGGAGATCCCCATAATATGTTCTTTTGATTGAAACCTTCATCTCAGATTTGTGCAATAAATATTTGAGAAGATGAAAAAACATCATAACTAATAGGTCAAAAATCCCCTTACTGAAACTTTCGAAGGCTGTAGAACGTGAAGTAAAATCAAGAGAGACTAGCGAAATATGCAAGCACATAGAAGACCAGCCGTTTTTCCATTGATATCATTTTTTTGAAACTCAGAGCAGTAGTTTTTGAGAAAAACTGAAATTTCTGCTAAAAAAGCAAAAATTTTCCAAAGCGTTGCAAAAAAAACGAAAAACAACAAATCCCATACAATTTCATAAAAAATGTTTTTTTTTCAATACTAGCCAAAAATAAAGCGGCGACTTATGCCATCAAAATGGCTATGCTTATATATGATTAAATTAAATATACCGAAAGTGCCATCAAATTAGGACCTTTATTTGTGGCTTAGGTTAGAAAAAAAACTCTTCGTAATAATACACTACGCTTCGCTGTGTAATGCACAAAATTATTTACGTGAAAGAAGTTTAGTTTCCGATTGCAACCCCCATGCTAACAGCAAGGGTAAAAAAAATAGAACAACACCAGGGGTGGATCTTGGATTTTCTAATGGGAGGCGGGCTTTTAAAAAATTTTCGAAAATTTTGTCGGCCTTTTTTTCAGGTCGACGAAAATGATTTTCCGAGCTCCAAAATGATTTTCCGGCTATGATTACTTATTTTTTTTCCGGCTATGATTACTTACAACGTGAAATTTTTTTAAGAAAACCGAAAATTTTGTCGGCCTTGCTTTAGGTAGACCAAATTGATTTTGTGAGCTCTCCGAAATCACCATTAAGACCCTATTTCGACTAAACTTCTGCGCCGCAGGCAATTTTTAAAAAAAAAACACTCCAAAAAAGGCGTTAGTATATTTTGGCGGCCAAAAATGGATATCTCAAAATAGTACAAAGCCCCCCCCCCTAAATCCACCCCTGAACAACACATTGGTCAACAGATTTGCTCAATATTTGCAGATATGTTTATAACAGGACGTTGATTGGTAGTAATTTTTCACACATTCACTTCTTCTGTCACGAGAATAAAACCCGTAATTACCTGATGTCCCAGTAGAGCACTGATCCGTCTCCTCCACCGCTCACCAACATCTGGCTGTAGAAGGGGTGCCAATTGAGACCTAAACACATCTCAATCGTTGTTCTTTCTTGTTTCGGTATCACGAGGAGAAGGAGACTTTTTGTAATCATGAACAAAGAACGTACGCTAAAACATCTTTTCCTTTGCGATCTGTAATGCATTTTAAATTCAAAACTATTACAAAAATTCAAACTTTCGAAGTTCAAACTATTACAAGTTTCGAGAAAAAAAACTAAATTATTCCCTTTCTTTCTATACAAGAGCACATACACTACATACAATCTATTTATAAAATTCTTAGTGATTGTTTACGCAGTACAATTGCCGTGAAATTTGGCATGGTGATGTCATTGGGCATGTAATCTAAACATAAAAAATTGGTCTTAATGTGCAACCTCTTATCAAGGGTTACGCTAAAAAAAGTGATAGTTGTATGTGCTGGGATGAGCGGAGCGGAAGAACGTAGAAGAGTCAAAATTTGTAGTTGTATGGTGGCATTGTAGTTCACTCACATAGCACTTCCCTCTTGTGTCCTCTGAGGGTGGTGAGCTCCTGCTTCATATTTCGGATGTCGAACAGCTTCATCATGTGGTCCCTGGACCCACTCACTAGCCAACTGCCATTTGGGGAGAAGCGACACACAGTGACGGCTGCCTTGTGGGGGAAGAGAGTGTTCAGACTGCGACCACTCTTCGGATCCCACAACTTCATCGGCTGCTGCGCATCTTTACTCCCAGAAACCAACAAGTTCATGGTCGGATGCCAGTGAATCGTCTTGCAATCCGCACCATGGCCTAAAATCAGCCCTCAAATTTGCAGGTCATCATGATCTCTTGCAAAAAGGTCGGATTAACAAAATTAATTTAAAAGAGCGATGTGCCGATTCGGAGCAGACTCGCAGCTTTTTTCACAGCAAAAACTTTCTGATATCGATCATTTGTCCTTCTAGTTTAATTCTGTCAATCTGAACTTTTTGCAGCTTTATACATCTTCCTTCGAGGTTCATAATAATATCACTATACTTTCTAAGACCTATATCGAGGCTAGTCCTAATTTCAATCTTTGGAAAAACTGAGTTTGGAAGCAAAATTTATTTTCAGAAAGTTTAAAATGAAAACCCAGATTTTGAGAACATCGCAGAAATGAATCCATAGAAATAAATGAGAGTGAAAAGTAGAAAGGAAAACATTTTGATCAAAAACTTGAATTATTTGTTATTGATGAAAACAAATTACGAACCAAACTTTCCCGCATTCCAAAAAATATATTCAGATAAATAAATTACAAAGTTGAATTCAAAAACTTCTCGGTGGCTCTTGTTTCTTTCAAGGATCCCAAGCTATTTGGGTAGACAACCCCTCATTAGTGGATTTGGGGCGCAAAGCGGACGTTCCCCTCACCCAAGGGGAATCTACCCCCACCAACAAAATAATCTCCGATTTTGGTACTATTTTACGCAAGACGCCTTTTGAGGGAGAACGCGCGTTTCGGTAGAAAAAAAACTTTCAAAACTGCCAAAATTTTTGCAAAATCGAGCCTTGATAAAATTTGAAGAGCGCAGAAAATGAACTTGGCCACTCCTCAAAAAATCCTGTATTGCACATGCAACCAGATAAACTGCCAAAAGCGGAGTCAATATTTCGTTAAATCGAGATTTGAAACAACATAGTCTCGTCCGAATGGCACAGACAATCCCAGCCAACCTATATTACAAATTTTTCGCCAAAGGACCCCAAAATCTTTCTCCAACCGAAGGACCCCCATAGTATTATTTTACTTCCATTTTGGCCGTTCAACCCTAAACGTGCCTCGTAGAAGCTTCTATAGACTAATATTGAGGGGAACGCACTATAAAAATGCAATTTTTGGTGAAACGCGATTAAAGCAACAAGCTGTTACCGAAAACTAGCAGTCCTTTGAATCTAAAAAAACGCGCTTTACTTAATGTTTTCAAGAGCCACGAGAGAGTTATGATAAATAATCACTCCTTAAAAACCACACAGACAGCTGTGCATATCACGTGTGGGGGATGATACCATACCTCTCAGCACGCGTTCTTCAGTCCCACTGTAAAAGTCCCAGATCCTGGCAGTTGCGTCATCACTGCAACTGGCGAATTTGTTGTCGGTGGGGGAAAAGCTGGACAACACAACACAACTCAACACTCTCCAGCTTTCAAACTATGGCTCCGCATAGTATAACTACGGAGTCTTTGAAGACCTTGCAAGACTTGGAAACCATCTATGAACACCTCAACTCTCATCTTAGGCACAGTTCAAAACAGATGTACTCCAAAAATTGTATTCAAATTGAAAGAACATTTCGAGAAGAGAAAATACCCAATTTTTTCTGAGATTACAACCTTAAACAATCACATAATTAAAAACGATCCACACGGCATTATGACGTTCTCTCGTGCTCAAAAGAAAATTTGAATTTATACGATGCCTCTATCTTAAAGCCTAATCCTCAAAACTATTAATTATTATTTTGAATACTCAAGTACAACTTGATAAACTTATCTATTTAAGGAGTAAAACGTTATTGTTTTTAGAATTGGGTATTTGTCTTTCTTGAAATGAAATAGAGTGATGTATAAAGTATAGACAGATGATTAGTACGCACCATATGTCTCTGATGACCTCGCGATGCGCTTGAAACATCTTCACGTTGTTCATGTTAGTTTGCCAGTACTTTATGAATCCATTGTGGTCTCCAGACAGAAGCCACAGTCCAGTGTTGCTCCAGGTCATGGCTCGGATTGGAGCATCGTGGGCCTACACAAATCATAAAATTATGCCAATTTCATGCAAGGCCAAATAAGATTTTCACTTTAATGAACAGGCACTTTTCGGATGTACAATTATAATTATAACAATTTAAATTGCGATATGAGTTTCTTTTGTTATGATGATTATGTTTCTAGCTATTATTCATTTTTTACTAGATTTCAAATAACGTAAACAGAAAAGAAAAAGCATTTCTGGCTGGAAAAAAAATTAGACCAAAAAATTGCGTTTTTTTGGCGCCCCCCCCCCCCCTCAAATTTAGTAAAAAATTGTCGCGTAAGGCGCCTATAGAAAAAATTTAGGGTCAACCAGCCGAAAATGGAGATCTTAGAAAAGTACCAAAGGGGGAGCCTTTTGGTAGTCAGGGAGTCGAATTCTTGAGGGTGGGGGCGTCCCCCCTTAATCCACTAAACTCAAGTATACCATTTTTGCTGTAGAACACAATTATGAATTTACTCAGAACTCCAAAAAGAGTTGCTTGAAAGATAGAAAGCAGATTTATATCACAAAAAGGGACCAAAAAGTGAAATAAGCAGCGTGGGATACTTAAAGCTATCATACTTGGGGTGACTGACCTGCAAGATGGTCTCGAAGTTGAACTGCAGTCCATTCCACAGAGTGAACTCCCCACTGGAGGACCCAGTCAGCAATCTCCGCCCATTCGGAGTCCACTACAACACAAACACAAGAGTAACTTCTATTCTATACCTGCAATCTCGGCCCTGAACACTTAAACAAGCACCACTCTATACATGCTAGCTTAGTCTTGAAATTCATCTGCATTGCTTTGGAAATTCAAGAATTCGGAACTGCGTTGTTTCGGAAATTCAAGAACTTTTTTATGATTAACTGTTTTTTTGATTTAAAAAAATAAAACTTACCCAAGCAAAAAATTTTTAGGTAATTTTTTATGCCGCTGAAAATTAAAGAACGTTTTCCGAAAAAAAAACGAAACGAAATCAACACGACCTATATGAGTGATTTAATTACTTAGCTCATTAACTTTTAAATACCAAAACACACAAAATATTCCAAATAGAACGAGGTATATTAAAAATGCCAACTTGCTCAAAATATGTCTTTTGTTTGACGAAAACTAAATTATTCTGTTTTTGACGCAAACAGAGTTGACATGAGAATGAACGAATTAATTCATTGATTCTGCTTGACAAGTTATTCACTTATAAAAATTCTATATTCCGATTTGATAAAACTTTTTCCACCAAGCTTAACTGCTATTTCATGCTTTATTGTTCAGACCATTTGAAAAATGGGGACGAACTTTGTATTCAGTCGTGTTTTAGTTTTTTTCCAAGCAAAATCAGCTACCACAAATAATCATCGGAGAGAGTTGAGTGATATATCATATAAAAACCCTTTGAGTCGTGATTGGAACATAAAACTTTCAAAAAATTTCCCGGTGTCGAGAAAAATTGGTTTGAATTTTTTGATTTTTCGTCAAACTCGAGCGAGTAAAGCGAGTGAGCACGCTTATTTATGCTTAATTTAGGCCATTTATAATAGCTTAATTATGCTTAATTTTAATTTTACTCGAGTAAAATAAGTTTTTGGAAATTTTTAATGCCATTTTGGGAATCGAAAATAGAAAAAAATTATGATTTTTGTCTATTTTTTTTAGTCATTTTTCTTCAAAAACTGTTGTCCTTGTTTAACATTGTATTTTTAATTATTTATATTTCGATTTTCATTTGTTGATTGCACTTCAGGGATTGATCTTCGAGCTTGAAGCCGGTCACAATTCAGGGTCAAAACTTCATTTCCTACTCAGTTTTTTTTTAGCGAATGTTCGCTACAGATACTGCGTTGACTGATGGCTATTTTTAAAAAAAATCAGCCACATAAGTTCTCTAACATCTATCGCGTTTTGCCTTTACATCGCTTCGATTTAACTTCAAAGCTACTTCCAAATGGCCTCTTAAGCTGTTAGCTAGATGAAATCGTTTTTTGATCATCACCGTACTCATTTAAAGCTTGTCTTAGTAGTGCTGATTTAAATTAACCGGACAAAACGCGTTAAACTTGAAAATTAAAACGCGTTTTTCTTAAATTGGGTTGAGTTTAGGTGAAAACTTATGAAGAAAAACTTGCTTAAAATTTTAGCAGAATTAATAGGGCGTAATTTGTTTTGCGAAACTCGCGCCCAAAATTTTACCCCAAAAATGGGTCATTTTGATTTTTCTTAGTTAATCAAAAATTACGCCGAAAATACCCAGTCGATCACAGACATATTTATATCAAAGTGAGCCGCTTACGTAGCCCAACAAACTTTAAGAAGAGTATATTCTCCAAAAAAAATGCAAATTGTTTAAAAATTGTTTTCAAATAAAAAAATGCTGTTTTATATAGCAAAAACGACCTTTTTTGTCTATCAAACAAAAATAAATCAACTTATACAATGTTTTGGAGAATATACCCTTCTTAAAGTTTGTTAGGCTACGTAAGGGGCTCACTTTGATATAATTATGTCTGTGATCGACTGGGTATTTTTGGAGTAATTTTTGATTAACTAAGAAAAGCCAGAATGACCCATTTTTGGGGTAAAATTTTGGGCCCGAATTTCGCAAAACAAATTACACCATATTAATTCTGCTAAAATTTGAAGCAAGTTTTGTCGCATAAGTTTTCACCTAAACTCAACCCAATTTAAAAAAAACGCGTTTTAAATTTCAAGTTTAACGCGTTTTGTCCGGTTAATTTAAATCAGCACTGTACTTACGTAGCAAAAAGTAGACATGCCATAAAATAGACACGTCGTGAGCCAATCAAAACAGAGAAAAGAAAATACTTCGTGCGTTTGTTTTCTTATCTAGATTGTGATTGGCATTCGACTTTTTAAACGCACTACTCTGGTTATGAAGCAAATCTTTAGGTTACGAGCTTGAGTGAATTTGACTGCATTTGATTGAATTTGACTGCAACTTGTCGATAAATAAGCCATCAATTTTATAGGCCATCAATTTCAAGTAATAAAAATTCCATTGGATAGTTTGAAATTTTATTCTAATTTTCACTTGCATTGATACCTTAAAAAATAATACCCAAGACCAAATCTGAACTGCTCAAACACAAGCCAAAGCGGCAAAATGGAGCAACAGACGGTTAAAATAAGTATTGAAAATGCGCCGAAACATCTTAGCTCAAAAAAACTAGGCCTTGAATACTGCGAGTTACCTCGGAAAAAAGGACTGATAGCATACAAGGAGGCGAAGCGCTTCGCATCACTTGCGATATCACAAAAAAGCAGTGCAAGCTACCGTAAAGGAAACAACTAAGTCCAAAGAAAAAGGAAATTTTTTTGAAAAAACCACAATTAAAAAACTTCAAAACACTGTCTGGAATGATTTTCTATTTGCGGGAAATGCGTCCAGAAACAAGTTTGATGTCGTTCAATAAAAATTCACAAACAGAAGTTTTTATCGAAAAAAAAACTGTTGCCATGAAAAAATTTGCGGCAAAATGGAGCAACAGACGGTTAAAATAAGTATTGAAAATGCGCCGAAACATCTTAGCTCAAAAAAACTAGGCCTTGAATACTGCGAGTTACCTAGGAAAAAAGGACTGATAGCATACAAGGAGGCGAAGCGCTTCGCATCACTTGCGATATCACAAAATAGCAGTGCAAGCTACCGGAAAGGAAACAACTAAGTCCAAAGAAAAAGGAAACATTTTTGAAAAAACCACAATTAAAAAACTTCAAAACACTGTCTGGAATGATTTTCTATTTGCGGGAAATGCGTACAGAAACAAGTTGGATGTCGTTCAATAAAAATTCACAAACAGAAGTTTTTATCGAAAAAAAAACTGTTGCCATGAAAAAATTTGCACCTGAAATACTTTTCTGAGATTCCGACCCAAAACCAGGTTAGTGAGCCGATAAAATTTAAGCCAAAATCATTTGGTTCAAAAGCAAAAAAAAACGAAGTCAAGGAAAGAAGAATAACAAATTGCAGCAGCAAATGAAAATATAAAAAGCAACTAGTATGAAAACTGTATATAGCAAAACAAAATCTGCGATAAGGCAACTAAGACGAGAAAATATAAGCAAACAAGCAATAAGCCATTTTTTTAAACGGAATATTTTCCATTAAAAAAAGTCCTGGTCAGATCCGAATCCAAGAACTTTGCGGCCCCAAACAGATTCTTTACCTCCAAACTAAGTGTACCGGAGACGCTCGGAATTTGAATTCATTATGAGCCAAGACACCAAGGATTATGTTAAACAAGTTGTTAGCCCGAAAAGTCTTTATTCTGATTTCGCAAACCTTTACAACTTTGAAAAAAATCAAAAATATTCCAATTAACGCAAGGAAACCGAAAAAATCCAAATTAAAAAAATCCACTGAAAAACAATTTCAGTTTAGAGTATTTTCTGATTTTCATTTTTTGACATATAAATTAATTAATCTAATTCGATAACACTGGATTGATTGGAAACATTTTATTACCACTGGAAAACTCGTTAAATTATATTCCACTTTTGGCACTAATGGTCAATCACAATTTCCAGATAGCAATGGATTTGCAGGTTACTTAGAAACAAATAAATTTTCTTTTTAATCTCACAAAAATAAAATATATGAATCGTGCAGGTCATGTTTGAAAATCGCAATAAGAACGTGACGAAGTAAAATGGTATAAGGAAATATTTGGAGTGACTGACTTCCAAGGTTTTTTCCATGGGATGATTATCATTATACGCTCATTTTTTTCGATCAATTTTTAGCCCCCGCAAGAAAAATTGATACTGATATTGTTTATGACGCCAAAAAATAAGATTGAAACGAAAAATTTGAAAAAAGTTGCGATACATCATAAACATAGCACTGCAAGCTAGTGTATAGAAATTAAGACCGAAGTCACAGTCGAAAAAATTAATTTAAAAGAATTTAGAAAACTACGTCTAAAACATGATGTTGAGGTTGAGGCTCCCAAGGCACATCACTAGACCAAATGGAAAGGGCACGGAACAACTGAGCTTAAATAATAGATAAAGGCACAGATTTTTTTTTTTACAGATTTTTAAGAAATTGTTAGCGGAAAAAATCTACTTCCAATTACAAGTACACTTGCTCTCTCGCAAGTGAAACTCACTTGAAATACCTTCAACTTATCGATAATTTTTGAAGCAACACATAGCCTTTCTTTTTAAGAAAAACATTGAGTTTCGTATATTGAGTTCTCGCGTTTCTTCAACTTTTTCTAGTTTTGAGAGTCTCATGCAAGAAAAAGTTTAAGCTCTTAAAATTGAATAAAAATTCGAAAAACAGCAAAACTGGCCCACTGGGCGATTGAAATCAAGACTGATTAACCAACACAGAGACTACTTTGACCAAAAGAAGTCATTGCTAGACGCGCTTAACTTTGAAAACATGGACTGAAAATATAGCCAGCAGACAACTGTTCAAGTGTTTGAGCTCAAAAAACCAAAAAAAAAATGACTGAGTGCAAACATTTGAGTTGCAACAAAATATATCGCACAAGAGTTCTTTCAATTTGAAAAACTTCATTGACTACATCTTTTTTGATACATCTAGTTCAATTGGAGAAAATGATAAATTTAAAAAATTTTTCCGCTGGTAAGAAACGAATTTTAAATTTCCAATTGCAATTGAAAATCTTGAACACGACAAAAATTAGCTCTTTAAAGTGCAAAAAAAGGCAGAAATAAGCCACGATATAGTAAAAAAAAATCGGATACGTCTCGGATTAGAACCTACGATCTACGGCGACCTAGAGATTATGAATCTCTCGCACCAACCACTCAGCCACGGACGCTTAATGGAAAACAAACACTAGCCACAAATAAATCAACGAACAGATGCTATGAAATTTCCAATGCTACAGTGAAATTTCCATAAAAGTGAACACTTTTACTTGCTAGTTAAGTTAGAAAAAAGGAAAGTTCATAGTATTACACTACGCTGATCGCCAGTGTAAAAAAAAACTCAAATAACTAAAACGTAAATGTGAACATTTTAAAGCACAAAACTCAACAAATAAAAGATTAGTTGCTTCGTTCATGCGCACTTAACAAGCTCTGCTTCCCTGTTGATTTTATCTAGCAAAGAAAAACTTCAATTCGTTCGATCAGAGTTGAAGATTGGCAAAATTTCACTTCGCGTATACTTGGCAAAATATCATAGATGACGCCAATGGATTTAAGTTATTGTGCGCTTCTCCACTACATACAAAACCTGTGATACAGAGAAAGACTAATCAGAAAGATTCAAGAAAAAATATTTATGGCATCACTTGCGAGACAGCAGAAAAAATCACAGGAGCTACCGGAAAAAAATAAAATGAAAGCTACTGAGTCGAACCAAATTGGGGAAAAGTTTCAAAAACATTGAGTTTGTAAATTTGAAAATCATTAATCATTTTGTTTTCACTTAAACCTATAAGTTTGGCTAGATCGAGTCAAATTCAATGTGAATTACTATATTTTGAAACTCATTTACGATCCTCTTACAAAAAACAAACGCATTTCCGACATTCAAACGCCGCATTACGAGGCAACTAAGCTGATATAACATAGTCAAAACCAATAAAGTCGCGGAAATCTTTGAAGCGGAAAAAATACAAAAAACGATAAGGAAACTATACAAACTCATAGCTAAAAATTCGAAAAACATCAAAATAGACCGAAGAACTTGTTTTGACCGAAGAACTTGAAATGAAATACAAGAAAACACACATGCTTTGGTAAGCAAGTCGATAAACATAAGCAGATTACAAGACACCCGCTCCGCCAAATGCAATAGAAAAAAAAACAAATTCAAAAAGGATATAATTTCGTTTTTTACATCTCCGCGCAAAAGTACAAGTAGATTGCACGACACCTGCTCTTGCAAGTGCAATGAAATAAATTAAAAGTTTCAAAAAAGAAATGATTTCATTTTTTAAGCTCCACACAATAGTAAAAAGGGGTGTTTCTCGCATTGGAACGCGTTGATACCAACAAACATATAGGCTCAATGGAAATTCAAAAACAGGCGATGCAACTCAAAAGTAGAAAATGGGGGAGGCCAGAATGTCGGAAAAAATCATCTAAAAAACCATCAAACGTTTGTCTCGAAGATCTTCAAATTGAGGATCATACTTCTCCAAACTCAATCAACAGCGTTAAGTTAAGATTCAAAAAATTATCGAGCGCCACGCAAGCCGACAAAAATTGAGTAGACGATCGTTGAGCCGAGAACTAAAATACCATAAAACATTTTGGGCTAGTAATTGCCAACACGAAAATTCACATCCTTTCAAAACACAAAAAGTTGATTTGTCCTTAAAAGGCCCAAAACAAGGTGACTAAGCCGATATTATATTTGACGAACTATTTTAGCCGAACCTAATTATGGAATGCTTGAGATGGTTATTTAGATTTTACCAAAATTTCTCGGTAGATTAGAATCGTTACTACTAGAGGAAGTAAATATAACTAAAACAATAGGAAAATAAACCGAAATAAGTAGAGCCGACCCCAGCACCGGAAGTCTACAGGAAAACTTTCCTCACCGACAAAAATTAATATGCAACTCTTCGCGTGCAGCCAAGTCACATATGCAGGCAAAACAAGTCATTCATTTGTTTAATTATGACAAAAAGGGGTTTCATAGAAATAACTTTTCGCGCCACTGTAATCAAAGTTAGCGGGGAAGAGTCTAGTACACAGTTGCAACACCCTTGCTTACCGCAAGGGTAATGATTTCGATTACAAAATAGTGAAATATGAGGCTTTAATCATTCCAAAGTTACAATTGTCAAACCTCCGTTACAAAGCTCACGGTCACTGATGTCTTTCAGATGGTACTTAAAAAATTTCGCAGAAATTCTTTAACAAAAGTTGGCCATTGTCTAACAAAAACTAGGCCGAGCACAAATATAACGTCTTTTCCTTTGGCCAAATACGATAGCCTGTATTTAAATATTCTCATCAACAATTGTATTAAAGGGGTCGATTTAAAAGGATAAAATGCATTAAACTGAACAAAGAAATTTACACAGAGACCAAGCTGCATTTCGCAAAAACCAGTGAGAACATGACAAAAAGCAGCTCTACAAAATCTAATAAGAAAAAGTAGAAATAAGCCTCGAATTAGGTTAAATTCCTCGACGTCTCGGATTCAATCTGCAACCTAGAGATTATGAGTCTCACGCACTAACCACTCAGCCACGGAGGCTTAATAAATCACGAACACTAGCCACTATAAAGCAGAGAACAGATACTAAAACTAAGAAATTTCCAATGCTACAGATCGTGATTATAAGTCAACACTTTTAATGGACACTTTTATTTGCGAGTTAGGTTAGAAAAAAAGAAGCTTCATAATAATACAGTGATGCTCGCAAGTGTAAACACAAAAAAGTGCAATATAATCGGAAAGTAAGTGATATCGTATCATAACACAAGCGATTGCTTGTAATTAACTTGACCAGTGCGTTGATAAATGAAAATTGTCCATAAAAGATTTTTTCTTGAACAAGCATTTCCGATTTGTTTTTTGTTTTTTCTACTTTGCAGTCAGTCACTATTAGATTTTGTCTCCGATTATTGGTAACTTGAAGTTAATTTCGAGACAATTACTAACCGTGATGCTAAAAACAGGACATTTCATTTTGTTCATAGCTGTGCGCACAAACTTGGTTGCGACCGAGTTGGCCGCGTTCTCCGGATAATCCAGCGATGGCGTCATCAGAGGTATGTATCCGGGGTCCGGTTGGACCAAAGGTCGATCTCGGTAGTCGCGTTGCCAGATCCGGTTCTACAAAAGAGTTCAGAAAAATCATATCATACTCATGTAATCCCGTTAGTACATAATTTATTTCGTTCATCGACGTTTAGTTTGTTAAATTTGATAAAAATTCGAGAAAGAATCCCAACCTCTATCATATTGATCATTGACGCATTATAATCCACGGACTTTCTTGTAAAAGGCTTTTTCGCAGCCAGAAGTTCCTCTGGTGTTAATCCTGTATTGGTAAAAATGGGACCAGGTGGCATTCTGCTGCGCAATACAGATTGTTGAAGCAGGGCAAGTTTGGCAGCATTGTTGTAACTATTTGAATTCTGTGCCTGGTGATGTATATGATGTTGAACATCCGTCGCCATTTACAAATCTGCTGTAACCAAAATAATAACAAGGATAGCCGGTACTGTGCAAGTAGCACAGAATGTTCCGACCAGTCTTCAAAAAACAGTAAAATGTTTTCTCAATTTGGTGTCGTTTACTTCTGCATGTTGTGATAAAAATCGGAACATAAAATTAAAACTTAAGCATATTTGAGAGTGACATAAGTCAATTGAAAAAAAAAATTTCAAAAGTTTTTGATTCCCAAAATTGCGCTAAAAACCTCCAAAAGCTACCTTTACTAGAGTAAAACTAAGTTTTCACGGCTTAAGTTAAGCTTAATTAAACTATTGTAATTACTTACTACCCTACTAATTAGCTCGAAATTAGGAAAATCCCAAATTTCAAACCGGTTTTTCTCGACACGATTGAATAAAATTAAAGATTGAAAGAGCTTTAATATTATATATCACTCAACCCTGTCCGATGAATTTTGTGGTAGCTGATTTTGCGTGGAAAACCAAAACAAAAAACACACCAGAATACAAAGTTCCTCCCCATTTTCAATGGTCGGAACAATAAGATTATGTACCATAACTAGAGCTTGCTTTCAGAAACTATAAGCCACTCAATGAACAGGTACTATCAGTGCGACAAACAAACTTTCGATCTAATTTAAAATATTAAACTTATTATTTAGTGTGTTTTATATAATGATGTCTCAAATCTTGTGTGGAAGGCCTCCAATGGGAGGATTTTAGAAACAAGATTTTATGACTGGATATTCGAGGTTTCATATATTCAAAGAAGCACCAACAAAGTACCTATTCCTTGCGGATTCCCAGGCGAGGTTGCTAGAAGCCGGAAACCTCAACATCTTTTCGCTCCCTGGGGCCAGCATCAGGCACTTATACGACTATATTCAACCCGCAGGCCGCTTTGAAATCATCCTACTTTTCACTGGAGGAAACGACCTCTTTGACGGTTTCGAGCCCTCGTCGAAGACTCCGCAAAAAGTTGCGCAAGATCTGATAGAACTTGCTGATTTTGCTTGCCAGAGAACCCGCAGCAGCGTCTTTGCCCTGGGAATTCCTGAACGCGACAAAAAGAGAGAAAGAGCGAGTGTAACGAACGATATCGTCAAAGCAAGAGCAGAATGAATATCTCTCAGATTCAAACAAAAAGTTCAGTGTGAATATCAGAGTGTCAGCAGTTTCACGTCTGGCAGACGCTATTTCAAATTAGATAAAATTCACCTGAACAACGACGGTCTGAACAACGTCAAAAATCTAGTGAAAGAAAAAGTTTTGTATTCGAAATACAGAAAAGAATTGAACGACGCAGGAAACACGAAAGTTGTCAACTGCAAAACAAACAACTGCAACTGTAGCCATTTGTATCAACCACGCCAGTAGAACAGTTAGTATTTTTTAGAATTGATTTTCCAAAGGTACCCTTAGGCACCACCGGTCATTCAATACTAAAACAAGTCCCGAAGTTTTTTACCAAAGGTACCCTTAGGTACCACCGGAGAGAACTTGTGTCCCTGTCCTATTTCTTCCAAAGGTGCCCTTAGGCACCACCGGTTGAAATAAAAAACACCACCATAATGGCGGAAAATACATGCAAAACTTGCAATAGCAATATAAATGCAAGAGAGCAATCTTTTGATTGCATAACCTGCGGATGTAGAATGCATCTGACAGCAAAGTGCACCAAACTTAGTAACAACGCATTGTCAGGTATAAAAGAATTAGGCATGAATATACTTTTACTGTGTAACACGTGCGTTTCGGCAAACCAACAAGAAAAAATAAAGTCACTACTGGCAAAACCAGACGCAGTAAAGAAGGAGAAACTTGAAAAAATGGAAAATGAGATGAAAGAACTTAAGGAGATAGTCTCGGAATTTAAAAACACACTATCAAAACCAGCAAAACAAACAGAAATAAAACCAAATCAAAAGGAATCAAACTTAACCACATCGGACAAAAACAATAACAATAACCAGACATATATAAGGATAAGGATAAGAGGAGTGAAAGAGAGCGATGACAAGGATCCTAGAAAGCGCCAAGAACACGACTTCTCCGAAGTACGAAAAATCCTGACTCATATGGAGGTTGAATGTAAATTCCACGATTTGATTAGACTAGGCCAAAGAGGTAATGATCGTGACAGAACGATACTTCTTCAACTGCCAAATGTATGGTTGAAACGGTTGATCTTATCATTAGCACGAAAACTGAAAAACTATGGAGCTGCAGTGTTCATAAGCAATGAACTAACAAACGAAGAAGCCGCGATAGAAAACGAATCTTTAAACAAAAGAAGAGAACTTATAGATCAGGGGCAAAATGAGAAAGACTTTAGTCGAAGGGATGGCAAGCTACACTAAAAAATGGAAACCAATGGATAGTGATATCGCCTAAATCTGAAACATCAGTCAACAATTGACTAAGACAAAAAGCTAATCTACTACTCTATAATGTCAGAAGCATCCGAAAGCCGTCCAATCTAACAACATCTACGATATGATTTGTCTAACAGGGACATGATGACAGGTATTAACTGAAAATGTGACGACAGGAGCAATAATTCTTGACAAATTTAACATCTATAGGAATGACAGGCAAAGCGTTAACGGAAAATCAAAACACGGAGGTGTTATAATTGGGATAAACCACGAAATACCTCACTACTGCCTACCCTCAACTTTCAATGACTGCCTAATAGTCAAGCTCTTGATCAAAAACCCCGTCTTATAGCTTGCATATACTGTGCCCCCAAAGGAAGCGAATACCGCTGGTCGTCAAAAACCCTATTGAGTTTTCTACATTTTATTAGGCAAAAACAAATAGAATTAAATTTAAAAAACGTGATGACTACTGGAGACATCAACTTTGCTCAAACGGACTGGTCGACCCTAATCTCCTCTGATGAAGACGAGCAGGCCTTTCTGGACGCTCTTGCAGACCTTAACTTCGAACAAATGATAACGGGAAAAAAAGTACAACTAGACGTACGCGAAGACGCTTAAGAAAACATAAGCGAAGACTAAAAAGTATACAAAGAAAACTTATTTCTTGATGGTAACTTCTAAAAATTGCAAAAGTTCTTTAAAAGTATTCGAAAAACAGATACAATCCCATGTGAAGTCTACCTGGATGATCAAAGAGCTACATCAAATATCGATAAAGCCAATTTGTTTAATAAATACTTTCAGTCAGTTTTCAGCCACTCCCTCTATGTAGGCGAGAATAACCCTTCTCATGAATGTAAAATAGCGAATTTCCATTTTACCGCAACGGAAATCGAAAAAATCCTTAAAAACTTGGATATCAACAAAGCCAAAGGACCTGATAACCTAGGAAACATTCTTTTGAAAAAACTAAGCTGTTCTATCTCTAAATTTCTGTATCTACTTTTTAACACAATTGCGAATGAATGTGTTTTTCCGTCAACATGAAAAATAAGTGAAATTGTTCCAATCTTCAAAGAGGGAGACAAACAACTTGTCTCAAACTACCGACCAATAAGTCTGCTAACGGTTATCTCAAAGGTGTTAGAAAAATTAATTTTCGATAAAATGATCAGTAAAATTCAGCATCTCAAACTCACAACACGGCTTCCGACAAAAACGATCTACTGTTACAAACCTCATTGAGTATCTCCATGAGGTATATACTTACTATGATCATATCGAAACAAATTACCTGGCTTGCCTCTACTTAGATTTCCAAAAGGCATTCGACAAGGTGAACCCCGCAATGATAATTGAAAAAATTAAGAGCTTTGGTTTCACAGGACTATGTCTGAAGCTACTAAAAAATTATCTAACAGATAGAAAACAAACCGTTCGCATTGGACAAGCAGTATTCGAGCCATTACCATTACACAGTGGTGTGCCTCAGGGGTCAATTCTCGGACCTTTGATGTTTATTCTCTATATAAATGACCTACCAGATTGTGCAATGTCAGCAAGTTTTGACTACACAGACGATTACAAAATTGTTTGCAATGACCCATTAATTTTAAATATCGATGCAAAGAGAATTTGAAATTGGTGTGTGAAGAATTCTATTGCAGTAAATGTGTCAAAAACCAAAAATCTCAGTGTGAAAGGAAATACAAAAGTTGAAGTAAATGGATCTGAAGAAACAGCAGAAATGAAAGATTTAGGTCTTATAATCACTAGCACATTAATTTGGACTGAAAATGCTACAAATAGATCTGCCAAAGCTCTGAAGGCATTATGCTCTGTGAAAAGAAACATCTCCAAAATAACAACAAAGGCCATGAAACTAAAATCATACAAATCATATGTTGCACCTAATGTAAGTTATGGCTCATCATTATGGAAACCCTCAAAAAGAGATCTCAAAATAATTGAAAGTGTAAAAAAGAAAGCAACAGCATGGATAATGAGTCCAACTCAAGAATACACAGATCGATTGATTTCCCTTCATATCCTTCCTCTGTCACTTTATCATGAACTACACATTCCACTGCTAATGCACAAAATCCTAACTGGAAAAACTGACCTACAATAGAAAAAATCCATAAGTGTTAAGGAAAAAGGACAAACAAGATATGCGAGTATGAAAAAATACGAAAGCAAACAATTTCGACTGCAAAAATCAGAATCTGGTTTTTTCCTGAGAGCCTGTAATATTACGAAGGCCTTGAATGAACACCTCAAAATTGATGTCATGGAGCACGAAAACATAAAAGAACTATAACGAATGTTTTCTGGAGATATTTTAAAGAGAAATTCAAAGAAAACGATCCATGCTCGTGGAGAATTTTTTTTTCGATTTTCTTTTTTTTAAGTAATCAGAAGGTCAAAAGTATCATACTAACCGAGGTTACAGTCAGTAGTCCCTTCATCACGTATTCCAGTAAAAATCCTTGGAATTTTCTAGATATGGAAGTGATAATGATAAAAGAAGATGACAAGTGTTTATTGACTGCCGATGCATGAACTGTAAAAACATTAGAAAACTAAACTAAACTTTTGATTTGACAAAAACTGAAAGGGAGCTAACTCC